AATGTGTTAAGGAGAGTATTTGCAGACATTATCTGTGTAAATAAAATGCTGGTTTGTGTGGGTTATTTCATTTATGCAGTGTGCGAAAGTGGGTGAGGCAGAGCATTAAATGTGGCTTCAGGGAAAGTCCGGGGCAGGATGGTACCTCCCAGGCCAGGTAAGGAGACCACACCACAGAAGAATGACATCATCATATTTGTTTTTAAAACAAAATATTAGAGCCTAAGTCCTTAAGAACTTGAAATAACTAAAATCTTACTCCCGCCCCCCCACCCTGCCAAATAGCAAAAACTTTCATACATCTCTCAAAGAAACCAAAAAATCTAGTAGACTAAATAGAACGACGGCCATAGAGGATTTGAGTGGCACAGTTGATCAGTGCTAACAACGCTCTTTTACTCTCGGGACTCACCACATCTTCCTTTTCAAACACGTGAACTGATCACAAAATATTGACCACAAAATCACCATAGATTTCCAGAGCTTAGAAATAATACAACCCATAGTCTGTGACTCCAAAGCACTGGAGTTAGACATTAGCAATGACGAATAGCCCCAAATGAACACTACTGAAAGGACTAYCCACCTTAACATGGCTTTTTCAACACACGGTGATTAGAACAAGGGGGCAAACTTCTCAAAACAAACCCAAATGGATACTAACTGAACTCCTTACATCAAAACAAATCGCAGATGGATCAAAGATTTGAAACTTTAAAAGAAAAACAAGATAMTTTTTAAAATGATTTTGCTGATGAAAAACTTTTGCAAATATAACAGAGAGACTAAAAGCTACTTAAGATTGATTTTTGTCCTTAAACAATAAGTAAAATATTTTGAAAAAGTAACCCAAATAAAATTTAAAAGTAAACTTTGCAGTAGGGAAAAAAACAGCAACATACATGATTTTTATGGGGGGGGGCTAATTTTCTTAAGTTTCCTGTAAGTCGTTTTTTTTTTTTTTTTTTTTTTAAACGAAAGAGGCCATTAACCACAATACACAAGCAAGTTAAGGATCACAAGACGACAGTTCACAGAAAAGTACCGGTAACTTTCAATTTTAAGACAAACAGATTTTAAGCCTTTGAAAAAATGTTCAATTTCTTTTCTGTTTTTGAGATGGGGCCTAGCTATGGTGCCCAGGATGGCCTCAAACTCAGGATCTGCAGCTTTAGCCTCTCAAGAAGCTGGGATAATAGGCATAAAAAAAAATCTTGCCCGGCTAAAATGCTCAAGTTCATTTACAATAAAATATATATATATTGAAATTATTACAATAGGCCATTTTGGCAAAGTACAAAAATTACAATACACAGTGTTGAGATGGTGGAAATAAAAACACGTAGGTATAATGTGTTGTTGTTTTTCCAGTACTAGGGATTGAGGCCACTGGCCAATRAGTACCACTGAATTATGTCCCCAGCCTTTTTAAGTCTAAATTTTGAGACTTCTTGACTCAGCCTCCGGAGTCACTGGAAATGATAGGCACACACCATGATGCCTAGTAGGTAGTATAATTTGGCCTTCTCTGTTGAAATATAAAATGAACCTGGAACCTACAATTTCAGGATTCCGATTTAATTTCCTACATCCACTTAAATATAAGTGTAMTAAAAAGCAGTACACTTACATTGCAATATTAGTTGAAATAAYAACTGGCCAAAAACAACTATTTATCTGCATAAGAAGGGTTAAGTATGCTAGCATACACAAGGGAACTCGATTCAGCTATTAGACAAGATGGGAAGATAGGTTGTATATTTGTTGATCTACATAATGAATTAATTTGTATATTCACAGATGATGGGTCTATTTGTGTATTCCCAGATCTCTGACTCACACAGGAGTCAGTGGTACCTGAGGAAAGCAGAGCTGTGGACCTGCATATGTATGTGGGGAGAGTGGGGGCGAAGTGAAAGTAAAAATTTTTGAAGTGCTTTTTGAAAATTCTTTGCCCCTTTGCACCRTTTTACCAACTGCAATTTTGACCAGGTGCCTGCATTATGTGTTCTAAATGTACTTACACTTAAAATCTCTGAAAGACCTATTTTCATTTATATGCTAGAAGATATAAACTATGTCCAGTTCTGTTTGATAGCATTAAATCAACTGTTCTTAAATTTTTAAATCAATTTTAACCTCTGTTAAAGTCCAAAGACAAATACCTAATAATACCTATATTTCTAGAATTATTTTAGGAATGCAGATCACATTCAAGGGATAATGCAGGCTTTCTCAACAGAGAGATACCTTTGGAATAAAGCAAGAAATACTCAATCAAGAGATAATGAGGGGCTGGGGATGTGGCTCAAGCGGTAGCACGCTCGCCTGGCATGCGTGCGGCCCGGGTTCGATTCTCAGCACCACATACCAACAAAGATGTTGTGTCCGCCGAGAACTAAAAAATAAATATTAAAAAATTTCTCTCTCTCTCTCTCTCTCTTTAAAAAAAAAGAGAGAGAGAATGAGGACCATCTCAAGAATGAGAAGCAACCAACCTAATATTTCACTCCTTTTCCTACCAAATATTTTATTCATATACATTTTCCATTATGTTTGAACACAACACATTTCTGCTGTATAAGCAGGTTTTGTCACTAATAATATTKCAGGAATATTGTGATATCTTTATTTTTTTCTTCTACAACGTGAATTTCAAATTCATAAAGCACTTAATGTATGGATGGACTATGATTTACATAACCAGCCTCTTGTTACATTTAAAATGATTTTAAGATGCAAATCTCTGAATACATCTCTAATTATTTTCTTAGAATAATTTCCTGGAAGTAATATTATCAGATCAAAAAGGAGTGAACCTTTTTAAGATTCTTATTACATATTCAACAGCATTTTCTGACATCATACAATATAATAATAATAATAATATGTTCCAAGGCTGCAGTGACATGATGTGTGTGTTTTGACACTTGTCTCCTGTGGCCATCTTAGCTCACTCATCTCATTACCTTTGCAATAATATGGCAATGCTTTTTAAGCGGATTTTCTATCAAATCATAAATGACATTTAGCAGGGAAAATGCCTAGGAGGATTAGATATATTTAAATATTTAGATATACTCCATGTATGTATGGTATGTCAAAATACCTTCTACTGTCGTGTAYAACTATTTAGAACAAGAAAAAGGGGGGGATAAATAAAATTTTTTTTTTAATCTCAAGATTTTTAAAAAATCTTTACAGCAGTTGCTATAAAGCTTCAGATTTTATTCTAAAATGTTACAAGTGAAAGGCAGTGAGGGAATTCAATGAAGAAAGGCTAATAATCATAATATTTTAATGGCTAAAATTACAAAACAAAAAAAAATCTTAAAAGTTAAAAATAACCAAACCTACAAAAGCAGGAGAATTTAATAGATGCACTCTAGCAAAGAGCAGGTCTGAGCCTAAGGAGCCAGGGCTAGAAGCTGAATCAAACCCTCAGGCTTTCGTTCCAGAGTCTGGACTCTGCCACTGCCTTACAGTCACAATGAGGATGAGGYCTGCTAATCTCATTGAATAACCGAGCAGCATCCCAGCTCCTTAGTGATTTGGACAACTACCTCAAAGTGCCGGGGCAGARGGCAAAACTCACATGACAGAAGTCTGTCTGTCATTCAAAGCTTGAGAATCTCTGAAAGACCTTCTCAGGGCCAAACTCTAAAGGGATACTACTGCTACTGTTTCCAGTTCTGGGTGACCCCGMAGACCATGAGCTCCCTAGAACCTAACAAACTTCCCCTCTGCACACAAACATACCGACACCAGGGCCCTGAGCCTAGGGTACTAATGAACCAGTAAAGGCAGTCCACCCTCAACAAAATGTATAACTAACCCTGTCATTTGTAAACCAAATGCAATTTATAACTTCGCCTGTAAAATGCTTAATCCTTCAAAAGTACACATTGGATTTTTTAAATCTGTGCTCCCTCTTCTATCATTTTTCTGGGCTGGTTCGTTTTTGTTAATTTTTTAAAAAGGGTTGAACTGCTAAAAGTGTGTGTGTGTGTGTGTGTGTGTGTGTGTGTGTATGTGTGTGTATTGGTGGGTGGGGAACCGTAGCGACCAAATCAGTTCAGATTTAAATTTCAATGTTGGTTTCTTTTCTTTGGCGAGTTTGGCCGGGATAAGGATGAGGCCTACTATAGACAGCTGTACCCAAGTACAAGAACTTTTCAGAAACCCCTAGGACTGCACCAACCTAAGCTGGAAGGGCCTGGGGATCTGGATACTGTGTGGGGCCCTCAGCAAATCCCACAACTCTCATGGCTTCCCCATCAACACTCAATACACGGACCGCCTCCAGRGCCACATGGCCTCCAGATCCCACATTCGGCAGCCCCAGAAAGCTCTAGAATGAAAGACCTTCCTCCCCGAAGCCTAGCCAACCTTACCAGAGGCAAATCCTGGGTCCCTCACAACAGCAGCACCTTCCTCGCAGGTCTCTTCTATGACTSTCTGTGCATCTAAGACGGGAGGCAAAAGCGAATCAAAACCTGAAGGGGCAGAACCTTTTATACTTCCTGCTTGCTGAGTCACAAACACTATAGGAAGAGGGCTGGCTCTGAGCAGCTTGAGTGGCACTGTCTACTTCTCCAGCTGAAAARAGCAGGCTGGGGTGTATGGAGCACAGCTAGACAGGAATCCTGGACACCTAACTTTGGTCTGGCTGCGACTTTGGATGAGTCATTTAACTTCCTGACCCCATTTCCTCCCTCCACATGAACAATTTAGACCAAATGATAACCAAGAACACTTTCTCTTCATGTTTYAGAATCTTAAAGATTTTTCTGTGCCAACCAACATGACTTTAATTTTTTCATTCAATAAATATTTCATGAATGCGTTCCAGCACCAGAGAAGGAGTAATGATATCTAGAATATTCCAAAACTGCCTACAAATCAACAAGAAAAGGRAATTCTGTAGTGGGACAACAGGTATGACCATGGAATTCCGGGTTGCAGACACTCAAATAGCGAAAGTGTAGGAAGACATGCTTAAATACATTGGCAGCCTGCAAAATGCATTTGTCCCTGTTGGTTGGCAAAGGTTTTCAAGTTGGATCAGGCCAGGGATTGGTGGGYAGGTGGGGCTGTGGAAGGTTTAGGGCTTGGTCTGATAGGCATCACATCCCCACCAGCAACTCCTCTGCCATGAACCAACTATGTTCTCATATTGTCCTAAGTATTTGTGAGAGCYGGAAATGTGAATCTGATTTTTATGCATTGTATACGTGCACCCAGTTACCACACCATACCCCAAAAAGGTGTTCAAATATTTGTGTCAATCTAAAAAAAATAAAAAGACTTGGCATCGTGTAACAACAAGCACTAGTTTGAAATTGGTACCCGCAAAGTCMATAGAACCGGAAGAGCAGGGTACTSTATTCAAATATTATGTGTCAATTTAAAAAAATAAAAAGACTTGGCGTCATGTAACAATAAGCACCAGTGTGAAATTGGTACCCGCAAAGTCGATAGAACCGGAAGAAAAAAAAAAAAAAAGAAAAAGTAAGAAATGAAATGAGCAAACTAAAACATGTGAAGATAATTGTGAACACTTAGAGTACCTGAGTAGTGCCTGTCAGTATTATTAGTGGTTGTTGTTTGACAGGCCTTCTCTCCTTCAAGTTTTACAATGCTCTTGGGATGTATTATTTAATTTAATGATGAGCAAACAGAAGTACAGAGAAATTACTTGCCCAAGGCCACGAGTTTTAAAAGTAGCATACATATCCCCAAACACAGTGTGAAATTGGTACCCGCAAAGTCGATAGAACCGGAAGAAAAAAAAAAAAAAGAAAAAGTAAGAAATGAAATGAGCAAACTAAAACATGTGAAGATAATTGTGAACACTTAGAGTACCTGAGTAGTGCCTGTCAGTATTATTAGTGGTTGTTGTTTGACAGGCCTTCTCTCCTTCAAGTTTTACAATGCTCTTGGGATGTATTATTTAATTTAATGATGAGCAAACAGAAGTACAGAGAAATTACTTGCCCAAGGCCACGAGTTTTAAAAGTAGCATACATATCCCCAAACACAGTGTGAAATTGGTACCCGCAAAGTCGATAGAACCGGAAGAAAAAAAAAAAAAAGAAAAAGTAAGAAATGAAATGAGCAAACTAAAACATGTGAAGATAATTGTGAACACTTAGAGTACCTGAGTAGTGCCTGTCAGTATTATTAGTRGTTGTTGTTTGACAGGCCTTCTCTCCTTCAAGTTTTACAATGCTCTTGGGATGTATTATTTAATTTAMTGATGAGCAAACAGAAGTACAGAGAAATTACTTGCCCAAGGCCACGAGTTTTAAAAATAGCATACACATCCCCAAACATACTTTGATATAGATTAATTCAGGGACTCATGAAAAGCATTAGAGAGCTGTCCTAGAAGATCAAGAGGGTGAGAAGGAAGGAGAGGGCTGTGGGTGTCAAACAGGAGGACTCCAGGCATCTCCAGCCCACAGAATGATTAACTCAGATCCAAACAAAAGAGAAAACAAACATGAGTCCATCAATAGAGTTTTCTGCAATTCTCCAAACTGGTTCAGAGACAGTGTCTTGGGCTGAGGCTGGGGAGACTGTRGGGACAGAAGTGCAACAGATTCAAAGAGTGTCAAGGCAGTCACTGTGATTCAGAGGAACCAAGGAGATGTGGACACAGCAGAATGTCCCCCGCTGGGCAGGACAGGGGGAGGCCTCTGGGTTTCCAGTAGAAGAAGCCACCACTGCACCAGGCACTCACCTGATCCAACCTTTTCCGGAAACATCCCAGTCACCACGTCCCCCAAACTGCCTAATTCCAAATGCTTCAATATCCAAGACTCGTCCACAGGGGAGAAAATCCCCGAAAAACAGACTGGTGGGGGGCGGGGACTCCAGGAAGAAGCTTTCTTTTACTTTCGATCACTCTACCGGCTTGTCYGCCTCCTCCAGCTCCCTTCTTCCTGTTTCTCTGTTCTCCCGTCCAGAATGTACTAGTGAATTTAGCAGGATTTTTAAAAATTACCAGAGATAAAGCAAGGAGCACCTGTGAAAGAAAACATTTTCTTCCAGCAGAAGGGCAGACTCTGGTCTTTGGCAAAAGAGAAAGAAAAATTCTCAGTCAAAAGAACCAGAGTCAACTTTACACCCCAAACTGGAAGGACAGAGAAGACTGGCTCCAACAGGAAACTTTGAATATTTAAAGGAGCCTGTGCTGATTTCCAGCCTCTCCAGAGGGAAATGACAGCTAATTCAATGCACCCACTGCCAACAAGGAAGCYGGGCATACTTTGTTGGAAAGCATTTGCGACTCTGTTTAGTATAAATAAATAAAACGGCAAATTTTGTGCTGGTTATTCTTTGCAGTGAGTCCAGGGGTGGGATTTTCCCTCTGTGCCCTGGTCCAAATCTCAGCCTGAAATCRTTGACCAGCCTCTTCCCCAAGATCATATCTCAGGGGCTCTTCTTAAAGGATCAAAGCTGGTCTGTAGCTGAAACGTGGGAAAGCTGTACACTCACTAAAAGGAGAAGGGGTTCTGGCCCAGTATGGACAAAAATACTCGAGTCCCTGGCTATGTTCTCAGAAATTGTAGCTCATGTGATTGTCCAGGTGAGCCTGGAATAGAAGTCATGTGAGTGTGATCTGGCCTAGTCCCTGAGCCCCACACCCCCTCTTTGCCACTCTCAACCTGTTTCCTGTTTGAATTTCTCCTTTTGCCTTCAAATTGTGTACATTTTTATAAACAAGGCAGTAACAACTRGAGCCACAACTGTACACTGCATCCCTTTTGTGAACTGTGACTAATTCTCACAGTAGTACAGTAGTGCAGGGGATTATTCTCCCATATTATGGATGACAAAACTGAGGCTCAGTCACATGGATTGAAACACCATCCCAAGACAAGGCTTTTCCCAYTCTCTGATAGGACTTGAGCACTTTAGCACTCCAGGGGTGGAGGAGGTGTAGACCTAAACTTCCTCTCTCTCTTCCACAGACTTCCAAATTGCCAGTTTCATTAACCACCTTCATAGATGCCATCTTGTTCCTATGAAAGTTGTGGTCAAGTGGAACATCTGGGAAAAGGGATGTGAGATGCACCACTGGGGCTCTCCTGGCCTCGGCACTAGAGGCTTCTCCTCTCCTATACTCCATCCCGCCTTACATGAACTTCTGACTTCCATTCATACACTTTGCCGCCTGTAGGGACTTCTGGCTGGTTGACCCTGTGGTAAATAATGACATTTATACTCTCAGCACTATTAGAGTATTTCTTTTATAAAAGTCATGTTGTCACCTGCCTTTCACCTACCAATGAAGATGCACATATAGGTATTAGTAAGAGATTTCCAAGAATTCAAATATCCCCATTCATTGAGCACATGGCACTATACCAAGTAAGATGGTGTTGTGGTTTACATGTGGGGTGTCCCTCTAAAGTTCATGTGTGAGACAAGGCAAGAAGGTTTAGAAGTGAAATGATTGGGTTATGAAAGCCTTAACCCAATCAGTGGGTTAATCCCCTGACAAGAATTAACTGAGTGGTGACTRTAGGCAAGTAGGGGTAGCTGGAGGAGGTGGGTCATTGGAGGCATGCCTTTGGGGTATATATATATATTTTTTAAATATATTTTTAGATGTGGATGAACCTTTATTTTATTCATTTATTTATATGTGGTGCTGAGACTCGAACCCAGTGCCTCACACATGCTAGGCAAGCACTCTGCCACTGAGCCACAACCCCAGCCTTGGGGTATATGTTTTTTGAGCTGAGCTTAGTTTCTCTCTCTCTCTCTCTCTCTCTCTCTCTCTCTCTCTCTCTCTCTCTCTCTCTCTCTCCTTCTTGGTGACCACATCCCCAGCTGCTTTTGCCTCACACATGCTAGGCAAGCACTCTGCCACTGATCCACAACCCCATCCTTGGGGGTATATGTTTTTTGAGCTGAGCTTAGTTTCTCTCTCTGCTTCTTGGTGACCACATCCCCAGCTGCTTTTCTCTGCCACACCTTTCTACCAAGATGTTTTGCCTTGTYTTGGGCCCCAAGGAATTGAGTCAACCATCTGTGGGCTGAGACTTCTGAAACTGTGAGCCCTAAAACTTTTCCTCCTTAAAATTGTTCTTGTCACGTCTTTTGGTCACAGCAATAAAGAAGCTGACTAAAACAGATTGGGAACCCCAAATAGGCAGATAATCAATCTCATTCTCACATTGATTGCCAGGTATGATATTGCTAACTCTGCTCACATGAACATGTGCTTCAAGCATATGTTGAGATAATTGAATCAGAAAGTGTCCTGCACAATTTGTCTTTGACCCTCACTGAGATTGTTAATAGTACTACTTTAGCTTCAAAGGCATGACAGAGCCTCAAATTCCTCAAATAATATTAGAAAAATGCACCCTTTCTGTTGGCCAAGGAGAGGGCTATTTAATTGGCAATGACTCATTTTGTACCTGGATCAACAAGCTTGCCAAAGTAAAACCATTGACAGGCTTAGGAAAAATTCTCTCTCTAAAGTAGACCTAGTGGATTACCTTTTCTTGGCTTGTCCATGTTGGAGCTCGGGGTTATGCTGTATCCTCCAGGGAGACTTTATCATGCTGCTTGGAGTGATCTTGATCATGACCCTGGTCTGTTGTGACCTCAGACTATTAACCTGATTCAGCACACAGGCAGGCCCTCAAAGACCAACCCATTTGGATCCATGAATTATGGAGATGATTATAGGATTTTTCTACCACAGTGTCTTAAAAGGATCCATGATAGAATAATCTATGTTCCTCTTATGAGTTTCAAAAAAATCAAAAGATGAAGTTGAGGAGTCTGGTTTTAGGACCAAATCCTATGTTAGAATATTTCTGGCCTGACTATAGGCAATTACAAAGGCTTTACCTGGCAGGCCTCCCAAGGGAAAACTACCCTCCCCACAGAAGACTCGGTGCAGAGGCAGTGGGTGAGTGTCTGAAGGGAGGCACAGCCGGGAAACTTCTGYTCTCCTCAAGTTGACCACAGCTTATGAGTGTTCAGTGAACTTCAAATCCTCTAACTCGTTGGAGTGTGATGATTTTTATCAAGTTAGGACTTTTCCTTTGGAACCAGGCACAGTATCACACACCAGTGATTCTAGCTACTTGGGAGACTGAAGCAAGAGGATCACAAGTTCATGGTCAGTCTTGGCAACTTAATAAGACCATATCTCAAAATAAAAAATAAAAAGGACTAGTGATGTTGCTCATGGTAGAGTGCCCCTGAGTTCGGTATCCAGTCCTAAAAAAAAAAAAAAAAATTACAGAAGAGGCATTACATTATTCAAAAAAAATTTCAGGTTTTCTGGAGATGATTATAGGATTTTTCTGCAACAGTGTCTTAAAAAGAAATTATTTATGTTGTGCTTGTGGATTCAGGGGTATGTGCATCTTGCAAACTGAATTGGGATCTGGCTATAAATATAACCAGCCCATGTGGAAGAATAGAACATTCTGAACCACTTTTATTTTAGAATGCTGCCTGATTATAGAATTGCAAACAAAGCCAATTAAAAATTGAGTTAGAAAATTTTTTTCTTTCTGTCTACCTCAATACAGAAAATTTCCTGAGTGTAAATTGATCAAAAATTTMTTTTTATTACTTATTAAATGGAAATGCAATTTGACCTTTTTATGTATATGAATTCTTTTTCATCATTTTATCAATTTTATTTTATGGTGGTAAGAACATTTAAAAGAAATGTAACCCCTTAATAAAAATTTTCAATGTACAATACAGTGCTGTGGATGATTCTGTACAATGTTGTACAGAAAATCTCTAGAACATACTTATCTTGTTTAACTGAAGCTTTATGACCATTTCACCCGCTCCCCAGTTCCATTTTTCAATTGCATAAGTTTGGCTATTTTAGATAGCACATATGAGTAGAATCATGCAGTATTTGTCTCTGTGACTGGCACATTTCACTTAGCACGATGTCTTCAAGGTTCATTCTTGTTGTCACAAATGGCAGAATGTCCTTCCTTTTTAAGACTAAATTATATTCCATTTTMTTTTATTTTCTTTTATTTCATTCATATCTTGGTGGGAATTTATGTTGCTTCCACAACTTGGCAATTGTGAATAGTACTTCTCTGAATAGGGGAGTGTGATATACTTTTTTTTTTTTTAATGCTAGGGATTGAACCAAGAGCCTTGTACATGCCAGGCAAGTGCTCTAATATGGAGCCATATCACTGGCCCCTGTAATATACTTTAAAATCAGGGGGTATAATACCTCTCTAACTTTATTCTTCTTCCTCAAGATTATTATTAGCTTGAGAAAATCAAAGATGGTGGAATAGAGGAGGTCATGTTCCTGGCTGCCCTGTGGCATGAAATCAAGAAAGCAGACAGGCAGCTTCTCTGCAAGGTGGGTGAACAAAATAAAAGTGGGATGGGGGGGGGTACTTACTAGAATTTAAAACTGGACATTCAAAGCAGACAGGGAACATAGGGGGTTGGATATAATTGAATAAGGAAAAAATTCCCAGAGGCACAGCTGCTGCCACAGCCAGCAGGAAGCTCCAGCCATAGAGGTCCCTCCATGAGCATAGTAGAGAGATAAGGGAATTAAAGGAACCCACATTTCAGGGAGGCTTGAGGCATGTCTGGGTACAGAGCGTTTAAAGACCAAGGTCGTTGCCCAACAAACCTGATGGATTTGATGCAGGATGTTCGTGGGTGGAGGAAAAAAGCCTCCATCTCTCCAGGCAGCATGTGGAGGACAAAGGAAGGAACAATTTTGCAGCTGTGTTGTGGGGACCAGCAACAGAGGA